CAGATATGTGTACATCATAATAAAATTTAAAAATTATAATGTAAATACTTATCTGAATATTTATTGTTTAAAGCTGTTTGAAGTATATCCATATAACAAAAAGATTCTTGAATAAAGATAATACTCTTTGTTTTTTTCTTACCTAACGTGATTTTAAAAGTTGAGGGGCTTTTTGTGCATGCTATTGGTTGTTGAATTAATATCTTTTTAGTTACTTAAAGTATTTTCCTTTCCTGATATCAGAAAATGTTTCTAGAAGTTAATTTATCTTTGTGATTCACATATCTGTTTGTGTCATGGCAGTAAAGCAAAGCAACAGAAGAAAAGGGCAGAAAGTGAGAAGTTGCCTGAAGTATCAAAAGAAATGTATTACAACATTGCTACAGATTTGAAAGAAAGACTTCAAAGCACAAATGGTGCAGGTGAAAAGAAGAAACATAAACCTTGGGATGAGGACTGTGATAGAGACAGAACAGGAGATAGGCAAGAGCCTGCTTCTCTGAAGGAGGAGGAGAAGAAGCCTACTGTGTTTACATTTTCCTTTTTTGACTCAAATGCTGAAGATGTAAAAAAAGGTAATTTTTCTCTTTTACTTCGTTATCAAACATTTTAGGTTAATAGATTGAATTTCTGTCAAGTGTAATGATTTCGCATTCCCTGAATAAGAGCTGCTGTTTCCACCCAGGTAAGTAATAGGAGGTTCAGTCTTCATGATGAGAAGTAGGATGTGCCTATAGCAGTGTTCAGTACAAGAAGAAACAATCATTAAAGACTTATTATTAAAGCAGTTCACTCAAATTTTAGCACTAGAGCTCCATTAGCCGCTTTATGAAGGAAGCCCAGAGAATGGGTTCAACATTTCCTTCTTTTGTGATTAGAAATAATCAGGAAGAAATGTGAACTATGTGTTTCATTGTCTTTACAGGATAAAAGTTGATTGGTAATGTGAGCATTTTGCTCTGGATTTGTGACCCTACTCAGCAGCCCAAACAAAAGGGCTGACCATCTGGTTTTTTAAAGATTGCAGCCAATAAAACTTATGGTACTGTGGATACTTGTGTCTGTCACGTGTGCTCTTACTCCTAGCAGCACTGTGGACAGTAGGATGAAACCTTGCCAGCACCCATACCATTCTCAGTCTCTGCTGTTCTTAAGCCCATTGTCAGTCCATAAAGAGATCCTTGGAAGCAGATTTTCCCAGTGCATTGCCTCCTTTGATTTGGTGTCTTGATTGATGCTTCCACAAGTATTGATTATGAATCTAAGGAAAATAAAATCATTAACAACTTCAGTCTCTTCTCCATCTGTCATGCTGTTGCCTATTGCTCCAATTGTGATGATCTTGAGCTGTAATCTATACTGAAGGCCAAAGTCTTTGACCTTTTCCAGTATTTAAAGTCTTCTCCACTTTCCACAAGCAAAATTGTATCATTGCTACATCAAATGGCTGCTTATGAGTTTTCCTCTAGTTCTTTTTTATATAGTCTAGCTTTTTGGATTGGCTGTTCAGCCTACATATTGAGTAAGTATGGTAAAAGGATATAACCTTGATACTCACATTTCCTGATTTTAAACTGTGGAGTATCCCTTTCTTCTATTCAAAAGACTGTTTCTTGGTCTCTATAGGTTCTAATGAGCACTGTTAAGGATTCTGGAATAGCCATTAATCATGTTATCTGTAATTTATTATGATCTACATCTGTAATTTATTATGATCCACACAGTTGAATGACTTTCCATAGTCAATGAAACACAAATAAACACCTTCCTGGTATCCTCCACTTAAAGCCAAGATCCACCTGATCTCAACATCATTGTTCTTCTGAATCCAGCTTGAGCAGTTCTCTGTCAATGAATTATTCCAATTTCCCAATTGTGTTTGAATAAGCTTTAGCAAGGATTTTAATATTGTGCCATAATTTCCACATCATTTGTTCTGGACCATATGCTACTTCTTGAAATAGTTCAATGTTGATTGAACTCTGTGTATTCCTTCCCATCTTCTTCAGTGGTACTAAAGGAAGAAATACAAACTGCATTAAAGGCATTGGCAGAAAATAAGATTGCAGGAATAACAAAATCAATCAATTTTTTCTGCAGACAGATGCCATTAGCCTATCCAAAAATATTTGAAAGATTACTATCTGGCCAACTATGAAAAGATATATATTTGTCCCCATTCTTTAAAAAGCCCATGCAGCAGAGTACAGAAATTACTGAACAAAATCATTAGTATTGCATACATGTGAAATACTGTTGAGAGTTATTAAAAAATACTTGGAGTAATATGTTAACAAAGAATTGTCAGAAGTTCAAAGGCTTGAATGAGGAATGGTATCATTGCTGAAAACAGCAAATGAAAAAAATATGTGGTTTAAAACCAGGAAAATCTGTGTCAAAGTTGTATACTTTCATCAGGCATAATCTTTATGCTGAGAAAATAATGTACAAAGTTTGGCTGTATATAAAATTTGGCTCTACAAAATTTAGCATCACATTTAGAAAATTATGTCTTAGCAGCCTGTGAAACTGATGTTTACTGATGGCTTTGAATAGTGAAGTAGGCACAAACCAACAAATCTGTCATGAAAGAAGTGCAAAAATTATGAAACTTCATCTCATATACTTTGTCCATGTTGTGAGGAGAGGCAGATCCTTAGGTAAGGACATCATGCTTGGAAAGTGTAGGGTCCGTAGAAGTGACATCGACCATCAACAAGATGGAGTGACACAGGGAGTGCAGCAATAGACTTAAGCACAGTAGGGATTATGAACATGGTGCAGAATAGGGCAGCATTTCCTCTGTTCTCGTAAGGTTGCTATGACTCTGAGTTGACTCGTCTGCACCTAGCAACAACATAGCAGCATTCCTTTTGTAAATTATATGTTTATTACTAAAATACTTTTTGGTTATCTGCCTGCTAATAACATTTTAATAGTCTTAACACATCACTATAGCAGTGTCCAGAAATAAAATTTTTGCTTCACTCAGTATTTGATAATCAAAGGAAGATGGTATTTCATCTTTTAAATAATTATTGAAATATTAGAAATTTAGAGATGCAGACATGGTGAACATACTTTTTATGCAAATGTTATATGTTTTCTTGCCATCCACACCCTTTCCATGTGAGATATTTTTTATAAGCACATTATGCTAACCTTTTTGAGTACAACATAACAGAAATATCATAGCACACTTGGATAAAAATGGAGGAAGGGGACCATGACTTAGTTGACTCCCCCCAAGAAAATATCATTTGTATACAAATATGGTAATCAAGTATCTTTCATCAAAAACACCACGTTGCTCAGTTGTAACCCCATTTTTATTTGTTATTAACAATATAGAAACCTATAGAGTTCAGACAGTGAAACCTGGAAAGATTGCCTGGCAGGGAGATCCTTGTTTCCAAGACAGCAGCTCTGAAGAGGAAGGTACTGTTGAAGAAGAAAATCATAGAATGTCCAACATTGAGTAAGTAATTTGTTTCTGTGCAGCTGTATTTCATATTTTAAAACACCTCAGTAATGCATACTTCAGAGATTGATTGAATTCTTAACTTATATTTACAAGAAAACTTTATCTCTTTCAGAGAATTCTCTAACCTTTTGGTGCTTGGAGTGTGTTTCTATTTTCTTGAGGTTTGAGTAGCTATGGTGGGAGCCTGCAGTAGACAGACGGTGTTTGGACATGTGATTAAGATAAGCACAGGGACAGGACCTAACTTCAGTGTTGCTAATCAAAAGTAGCTACATATGAGTGTCTTCTCTTTCTCTTTAAGATACCGTTAACCAGAGGTATTAGCAGCTAAAGGATGAGCATGTACTATTAAATATCAGGACTAGAGATGGTAGATTTTATATTTCAACTATCTTGTTCATCCAAAGTTCAGACAGAAGGGAAGATTATTAGATGAAGAGGGAATAGTAGCATTTTCATTCTGAGAAATCATGCATAAAGACATAAAATGGCTATTTGAGGAATAAATGTTTCTATTTTATAGTAAAGATTTCTTCTGACTGAAATTGAACAAACTATTATTTGTTTATCTGTTTCTGACTTGCTGTCTTTTGTTCTTTAGAGAAGTGTCATTACCACAGAAAGAAACCAGTAGATTTTTCTTTTTCTGTAAGAATGATGAAAGACTTCATGGTAAGTCTATTTTCCCACTAGAATACAGTTGTTCATTTTTTTTTAAATAATTTTGGTTTATTAAATTGTAAATGTGTTCAGCAAAACAAGACTAGTTCCACAGTTTCTGCATTTCCAGGTCCTTTACACTGAGTCTGTACTTCATGTTATGTTATTCATGTTCACCTTCCTTTTCCAAACTATTCTTCTCACACACATTTACTCACTGCTCTGAAAGCTTCCTAATTAATCTTTTGAGATGCTATTGTCAGTTTGATTCCATATAGGTGGTTCTTTGAAAAAGCACAATGCTTAAGGCATATATTCTTTACTAATTATAACCTATTCATTTGCTTTAAAGAAGACTCAAGGATATTTTTGGTTTCAGGGCTTTCATCAAGTCAGTGGCTCCAGAAAATCAGGATTTCAACTCTACAGCTAGCTCTTTACACTATATACTGATATAATACCGTACACCCAGTGAAAAATTTCATCAAAGTCTAACCCAGAAGAGTACTTTTTCATGTCTTTAGCCAGTGTTTGGAATTGGTTCCTTCTAACTTTACCACCTACTGGGAATTTGCCTTTCTACCACAGATATACTAAAACAGAATCTACATTTTTAACTAAGATTCCCAGGCATAAGAGTCAAGTGGGGATCATGTTAAAATGTAAGGTATAGTTTAGAATATCTTGGATGGTGAAATGCACAATATTTTGTAACAGACAGTTAACCAAAATGTCGACAGTTTAAATTCACCACCCTATCCTAAGAGAAAGCTCGGCAGTGTCCTCTTGTAAGGTTTAGAGCTTTGACAAACCAGTGGAGGGGAGCTAGGAGTTGGAACCTACTTGTTGGCACCGGGTTTGCATTTGAAGGAAAAAACAAACTCTCCGCTGGGGTGCAAACCAATTCCAAAGCTTCCTCCAGCAGACTGTTCACGTTGACTTGTAAAGTTCTGATAGGATGCAGAGGTCCTCACTCACCACTTTATTACTCATTCATTATCATCCACAAGGGCTTGGTTTATTTTGGATACTTGCACAAACATGTAGGCTATTTCTTGGTGTATATAAATAGTAAAACCCTGAGAATGCTACCTTTTCCTTTAATTCCTAGAAAATGAGGTAAAATAGCCTTAACCTAGCTCTTAGTCTATACACCAAAATTCATTTAAAAATAAGTCAAGGACCTGATGTGAAAGTTATATATAAAATTCTAAGAAGAATACACAAAGGCAAAATAATGATATGTACATTCTAGTGATGAAATATTACATATGACATCAATAGTATGAAAGATAAAGTATAAAGGGGGTGACACAAAATTTAAATTCATGTGTCAGGAGTTTAGTGAAAAGGTAAAAAAGAAGCACAGATTCAGAGAAAATGGGGGAAGAAGAAGGACTATCTGACACTCTATCTGTTGTTGGCTGTTGTTGTGTGCCACCAAGTTGACTGCAACTCATAGCGACCCTGTGCACAATAGCTCTGACCACTCCCCTATCTCATTGGCTGAGCCAGTCTCACTGTCTCCGACACACCTGCCCCCATTACCCCAGTTACTGTATCAATCTATCTCATCCTGAATCTTCCTTTCTTGCACTGACCCACCATATTTCCAAGCTTGACGTCCTTCTCCAAAGACTGGTCCCTCCTGGCCACATGCCCAAAGTATGTGAGACAGTGCTTCAAAATCCTTGCCTGGAAGGAGTATCCTGGTTTCACCTTGTCCAGCACAGTTTGTTTGCTTGATTAAATATTCTTCTCCAGCACAACTCAAAGGCATCAATTCTTTTTTTTTCATCCTTAGTCATTGATGCCTTTTTTATTTGTTTGTTCTTTTAGCAGTTCATAAGATACTCAGTCTTTTTCTCTAATACCAGAACTCAAAGGCATCGATTTTTTTCCTTTCATCCTTATTTATTGCCCAACTTTCAGATTCATAGCAAATAATTGAAAAGACTGCAACTAAAAAAGAAAAGACTACAACTTGGATCAGACACATCTTAGTCTTTAGACTGATGTCTTTACTCTTTAGCACTTTGGAGAGGTCCTTGACAACAGGTTGTCCATTTCTTTTTTGTGTGTGTGTGAGAAAAATTTGTGTTTAGAATTAGCCAGCTGGACTCAGTTTAGTTGATCGCAATTTTGTTGGCAGCATCCAAAGCATCATAGTCAGGAGCAAGTCAAACATAGGCCGCCTTCTCTCCATCAGGCCTAATCAAGGTATTAACTTTGGCCACATCAAGGTCAGACAGCTGCTTTTTTTTAGGGGGGGGATTTGTTTGTTTATGAATTTTAATGAAAGTTTACAGAAACTTAGGGTTTCCATTCGTTCATTGTTGCACTTTTCTCCCTGCCCACCTCCTCCCCCGCAATTTACTCTTCTCCTTGAACAGTAAAAGAACAACTCTTTCATTGATATGCAATCCCTCTCCCCAAGTCCACTCCACTGTGCAGCCTTCATTCTAAACTCCTGTCATGACAATAATATATCATATATCCCTTTTAAACAGTTCTCTCCCTCATCTGTTTTAATGCGGAATACATCATTCATCCCCTCTTTCTCTGTCCTGCCTCAACCCCAATGTCACTGTTTTACAACAGTGGCCCTATTGCAATATTTGTCCTTAAGTGACTGAGACATTTCACTCAGCATAATGTCCTCCAGGCTCACCCATTTTGTATATTTCATGAGTCCCTTGTCTTTCAATGCTGCATAGTATTCCATTGTGAGTATTGAGTATTGAATGTACCATGGACTATCAAGAAAACAAACAGATTCATTGTAGAGAGGATTAAACCAGGCTGCTCCTTGGAGGCAAGGATTCTGGGGCTTCGTCTGACATACTTTGGACATGTTGTAAGGAGAGACAGGTCTTTAGAGAGGGACATCATGCTGGGTATAGTGGAGGGACAGCGCAGGAGGGGAAGACCTATGAGGTGGATTGATTCAGTGACTGGGGTACTCGGGATGGGTTTGTCAGGGGCAATGAGATTGGCACAGGATAGAGCGCGGTTTAGGGCTGTTGAGTCGCAAACGACTCTACGGCACATAACAACAATAACATGTATACAAGCTATGGGTATTATTCAGCCATAAAGAACATAGTAGTCTTCCTGCATGCAACAACATGAGTGAACCTAGAAAACATGTTGAGGGAAAGAAGTCAGTTATAAGAGGCCAATTACCGTATGATCCATTTCACTTACATGAGAAACCAGAAACCAAAAAGTACTAGTTTGGTTAGGAAGTAGTGGGGAAGGAAATTTTGCCTTATTTGCATAAAATGCGTATTAATGCTGGAATAGGTTTCACAGATTCAAGATAGTCAGTATGACTGAATTATACATGTAGAAATTGTTGAAGTGTTGTATATTTTTTCCACAACAATTACTTTTTTAAAAAAGGCCTTAATTAGAATTCACATTGTTGCAACAGTGGAAGATTATGTTGGTGTTAATTTCATGCCTTATCTTTTCTCGTTTTTCCCCAGCCGGCTCTGAGGTTTTCTGGAGAGGGATGAGAAGTAATATGAGCAGGAATTCTTGGGAGGCCCGAACAAATACCTTGCGTATGGTAAGTGATTATACCTCCATATTGATTGCCTCCTGAGATAAATATAGTATGTTAGTATGTGTGTGTGTGTGTGTGTGTGTATACATATATACACATATACATACATACATATATGGTGGACAGTGTTTGGTGGAGCTTCCCAATTAAAACAAGCTCAGAAGCAGGAGTGGCATCCACTTCTGAAATGGCTTCCCTCCAGAAACTCTATGAATAGTGCTCAGGTCTTCCATTCATAGGGTTACTATGAGTCATCTATACCTCAGCGGTACCTAACAACTACAATGTGTGTGTGTGTGTATTTTACATATATATTAATACAAGATAAATATGTGTATTAGTGTGTATATATTTACAAATGTGGTATATAAATATTAACACAAAGGAGATAGATAGATAGATAGATAGATAGATAGATAGATAGATAGATAGATAGATAATAGATAGATCCTTTGTGTTAATATTTCCGTAATGTAAGAATTACTCGATGGCACCTAACAATGATATAAGAATCATTGGAATGAGATATGAAACATAAGGAAGGATGAAATGTGGGCATAATTTAGCTCTCACAGTTTGGAAGGAACATAAAAGTTATTTTCTTCAAACACACGTGCTACTGGTGAGGAACAAGAAGGCTGAGTGCTTGCACAGCCTAGAAACTGCATCATTTCACTTGCTTTCTAAGTACTCAACAGTCAAAATCCATTTATATTTACTATTAATTAAGGCTCTTGGATTTTATTTTGTGTTTCACTTCCCCCCTTAGGACTGCCGGAAGAAACATAAAGAAGCAAAAAGAAAAGTGAAACCAAAATAATAAATGTCAGCATTGATTAAGATCATGGATATGAATGGGCTCACCTAAGGAAACTGACCCAGAAAATCATTTTAGCTGAAAAAGAAGACATTTTAGAATTCTGGTTAATGGAATATCATTCTGTGGCATTCCACTATACTGCTTCCTAAGTAATTATTTCAAGGAATCAACTGAGCCCCAAGATAAATCCACAGAACTTTAAACTTCTTGGATGGCATTTCATTGTCTTCAACATGGTTATCTTCTGATAAAAGGCTTATATGAAACCTCTTTTAAAAATAAATGGGTTGAAATACTTATGTTTTCCAAGTTAGGCTTTATGTAAATTATAGACTGTTTTAAATACTTATTTATGACTATGCCTAATGTAATGCAGAGCAGATTATCTGAGAGGCTGGGCTCTATGAGGAGAAGTGTGGCGTCAGGATTGGTGGAAGATCTGTTAACAATCTGTGTTATGCAGATGATACAACCCCGCTTGCCAAAACTGAGGAGGACCTCATGCACTTGCTGCAGAGGGTCAGGGACTGCAGCCTTCAATATGGACTGAGGCTCAATGTCAAGAAGACAAAGATTCTCACCACTGGACCAATCGGTAGCATCAGGATGCATGGCGAAGAGATTGAGATTGTTCACAGCTTCAATTTGTTTGGCTCCACGGTCAACACTCTTGTCACCAGCAGCCAGGAAATCAAAAAACGTATTGCGATGGGAAAGTCTGCGGCTGGGGACCTCTCTAAAGTACTCAAGAGCAACGGTGTCTCTCTGGAGACTAAAGTGCGCCTGATATAGGCCATGGTCTTTGTAATCACTTGTTATGCATCAGAGAGTTGGACAATGACTAGGGAAGATAGAAGGAGAATTGATACCTTTGAGCTGTGGTCCTGGAGAAAAGTATTGAATGTACCATTTACTGCTAAGAAAACAAACAGATTCATCATGGAAAGGGTGAAACTAGGCTACTCCTTGGAGGCACGGATTCTGGGGCTTCGTCTGACATACTTTGGACATGTTGTAAGGAGAGACAGGTCCTTGGAGAGGAACATCATGCTTGGTAGGGTGGAGTAACAGCGCAGGAGGGGAAGACCCTCTATGAGGTGGATTGATTCAGTGACTGGGGTAATCAGGATAGGTGTGTCAGAGGCCATGCGATTGGCACAGGATAGAGCAGGGTTTAGGGCTGTTGTACATAGGGTCGCTATGAGTCCCAAACGGCTCAATGGCACATAACAACAACAACAATGTAATGTATGTTCCTTTTGTAATTTTTTTAAAATAAATAGCCTGACTATGAATCAACTTGGAGTTCTGTACAGGTCTGCTAATGAGTAGCTAATTGAAGAGTAGGACATTTCTGCCTTTCTGTGAAGATGGCGCCGAAAGCAAAGAATAAAGCCCCTGCCCCTCCCAAAACTGAAGCCAAAGCAAAGGCATTAAAGGACAAGAAGGCAGTCTTGAAGGGCATCCATAGCCACAAAAAAAAAAAAAGAAAGAAAAGAAGATCTGCACGTCACCCATCTTCTGGCGACCTAAGACTCTGGGACTCTGAAGGCAGCCCAAACACCCCTGGAAGAGCGCCCCCAAGAGAAACAAGCTTGACCACTATGCCATCATCAAGTTTCCTCTGACCACTGAGTCAGCCATGAAGAAATAGAAGATAACAACATACGTGTGCTCATTGTGGATGTGAAGGCCAACAAGTACCAAATTAAACAAGCTATAAAGAAGCTCTATGACATTGATGTGGCTAAGGTCAGCACTTTGATTAGGCCTGATGAAGTGAAGAAGGCCTATGTTCGATTTGCTCCTGACCATGATGCTTTGTATGTTGCCAACAAAATTGGGATCATCTAAACTGAGTCCAGCTGGCTAATTCTAAATGTAAATTTTTCTCACCAAAAAAAAAAGTAGGATATTTCTGACTAGTATGTATCTAGTGTAACTGTAAAAGGAAGCAGAATATACTTTTCCTATCCTTGGCCTCCAGGAACTAGGGACCAGCATAAAAGCAGCCTAAATAATCCCATGTAGGGAACTCTTAGGGCCTAGTGGGTAATGAGTCGCACTGCCAACCTAAAAGCAAGTGGTTTCACTCCACTAGCTTCTCCTCAAGAACAAGATGGGGTAGTTTCCTCATGTTATTAAATGTCTATGAAAACCCGCTGAAGCAAGTTCCAGCTCCACAGTACATAACAACCACAACCAATCCCAACATCTTGGTTAGAAGAGAAAAAATGTCTTAAACATGTATGATCACACAATTAGTTGTCAAGACCATAAAGAGAGTTGTGTTTATTGTTATGTTGCTGCAAGCTGTCAAGTCGCCTGCAACCAATAGTGAACTTATATACCACAGCTCTGAAGCCTGCCCTATCCTGAGCCAGTCTCACCAACTCCAGTACAACTACCCCCATTGACCCAGTTACTGTATCAGTCCATCTCATCTGGGGTCTTCCTCTTATGTGCTGTTTCTTCACCCTTCAATGCATGATGTCTTTCTCCAGGGATTGGTCCCTCCTGCCCACATGCCCAAAGTATGTGAGACAGAGCTTCAAAGTCTCCAGAGAAACTATTTCACCTTCTACAAGACGACCTATTTGTTTCTTGGTAAGACTTGGTCAAGACCCTTCTCCAACACCACAACTTGAAGGCATCACTTCTTCTTCTGTCATCCTTAATTCAGCTCTTTGATGCATAGGAAGTAATTGTAAAGACCATGGCCTGGAACAGGCACACATTCATCTCTAGACTGACATCATTGCTTCTCAGTACTCAGGAGAGGTCCCTGATAGTACATTTTCTGAGTGCAATTCATCTTTTGATTTCCTGACTGCTAGTGCCAAGAGTGTTAATTGTATACAGTTAAATAAATCAATCTGACTATAATTCAAAACAGCTATACTGCCTATCAAATTGGACTTTATAGAAACTGTCCTATATAAACATCTCTAAGGAATTAATGATTATCCAAAAACTATTAGAACAGCACATCAGCAGAGAATTGCTGGAAGTCCAGGCTGGGTTTAGAAGGGGTCGTGGTACTAGGGATATTGTTGTTGATGTTAGATAGATCTTGGCTGAAAGCA